GGGATCATGAGGGGTCATTAGTAGAGTCCAGCTCAAGGCACTCCTCGGTAAAAGGTGACTCTAATGACTAGCATAGGAATCCCTAGGTGCCATGAGCACTAGCTGAGAGGTTGGTGGTTCAAATCCACCCAGAGACATCTTGGAAGAAAGGCCTGACAGTCCGCTTCTGCAAGTTCACAGCCTTGAAAACCCTATGGAGCAGTTCTGTGTTACAACTCGTGGGGTTGCCGTGAGCTGGAATCCACTGCACGACACCTGCTTTAGTTTTCGTGATTAGTGTTGTGTCTGGGTAGGTGACTCCCAACGTCACACAGCCAGCTCTCCACTCCGCTGGCACTCAGCTCAAACAGGTTGACTCCTGCAAAGCCTAGGAAAGGAGCAAGTCTGCAGACTCGGGGGGACCTGCCTTCTGACTTTCACGATCAAATTGGAACTTCCTCCGCGTCTAATGGGAGCTCTGGTAGCATAGTGCCGAAGGCACTTGACTGCTAACCAGAAGGCTGGCGGTTCAAACCCACGAGCCACTCCTCGGAAGGAAGGTTGGGCAATCTACTTCTGTAGTGATACTGCCTCGGAAGCCCAAGAAGGGGTCAGTATGAGTTGGGTCCGACTCAATGGCACACAACAACAACAACAACAACAACTGCGTCTAATGACACAAAGCAGAGACTAAGGCAGACCCCTGGCCTGCTGACCTGTCAACAGAAGTGATGGAAGCCTGTTTGATTCTAGCATCTCTTGTCCTGGGACAGGTCAATGTGATGTGGGTTCAGGAACGTGACCCATCCCTATAACCATCTGTAACAATAAAAGAGAAAGTCACATTTATAAATATTTTATTAATATGTGATTATGGCAATAATTTCTCCTGGCCCCACCCCCACCCCCAGCTTATAAATTATTTTAAGAGGAGCCGCCTTCAGTCTGCCTGGGAGACCTGCCCAGATGATTTACTTACTGTATATTGTGCTGTGGAAGATTTCGTAATAGGTTGCTGTAAAATCAGCTATTAAGAATTTCAAAGTCATATATAAAAGTCTTTGCTTTGTGTCATAACAGATCATTTTGAAATATATTAAGAATCATTTCCATTAATCAGGCTTTTTTTTTTTTTT